CTCTCTAAGAGTTTGTATGGGGGCCCTTGGGAGCCTGCCCTGGAAGACGGTTTGCATGTCATTGGATGCGGGGCATTTAGCGTTGGCCCCGGCCTCGCCACACATCTGCCTACAGCGAGCTTGTGCGTCATGACGCCATTTTCCTTTCAAGCTGTGCTCCTTCTTCATCTGGGCTGCTGACCCCTACTGTGGTTTGCTTGAGCCTGGGTAAGTGGGTTTAAGGATTTGCTGATATGTATCCAAGGTCAGCAAACGGTGGCCAGCCATCTATTTTTGTAAATAAAGTTTTATTGGAACACAGCCATGCTCATTCTTTTACACCTTGCCTATGGCTGCTTTCCCAGCCCAACTGCAAAGAAGAGTGGTTGCCGCAGAGACCATCTGGCCTGCAAAGCTGAAAATATTTACTATCTGGCTCTTTACCAAAAGAGTTTGCCAGCTTCTGTGATAGATTTAGGTCGGCTAACTTTCACAAAGTGGATATGAGGACTAAAAAGACTACTACAAAAAATAAGTAAGAAAGTAAACAAATAACTCCACCATGGGTTGTCAATAATATTAACATTGCTATACAAAAGGACAACAAGAAAAGGGCAGGGCTGTTTTGCTCCCACCTATAGCACAGTGAGAATCCTCTAATTAGGTCTGTCAAGAAGTTGGGGGTGAGCAGACAAAGAAATGGATGGAAAGAAAGATAGATAAGAGAGAAAGAGAGAGGAGAGAGAGAGGAATTGTGGCTACAGGTTACATGTCTAATTACAAAAAAATAAAAAATCCTGGAGTGCATTCCCCCCCTTTCATTATCATGTATTTAGTGCTTTTTATGGCCAAACACTGTTCTTAGGGGGCAGGCTCTATTATAATCATCCACATTTTATAGAAGAGGAAACTAAGGCACAGAGAGGCTAAGTAATCTGCCCAAAGTCACACAGCTTGTAGGTGGTGGGCAGGACTTGAATCCAAGCAGTTCGACTCCAGAGTGAATTATCTTAAACTCTACATGAAATTGTTTCTTAATTACAAAAACATAGACAGAAACAAACCCCACAATGTTTGGAAAGCACTGCCTTAATGGGTAGCCCTTTGGGGAAGGCTTGGCATCCCAGCTGGTGGCCCTTACCCCAAATCCTGGTGCACGGTGAAAGAATTTGGACACCACTCCTTTAAAGGAACTTTGAGTTTTTAATTTTGAGCCTCGTGCCCGGGATGGATCCAGCAAATGTAGAAAGTAGCAGTGAAATGGGAGCTCAGGGGTGGGGGCTCATGGGGCACCTCCTGAGAATTCAGTGAGTTGAGAAGGACTGGTTAGCAGGTGTAACAGCCCTGAGCACCCAAGACAGTTGAGAGCTCAGGCCCCTAGGGGAGGGAGGCTGAAGACCACTGGCGTGGCTCTCGGTGGAGATCTGGCATCCATTCCTGTCTACCCCCTCCTTAGGCTTCAGCTTTTTCATCTGTAAAACGAGGGAGCTCAGCTAGATGGTCTGCAGGAGCTGTTCGTGGGTTAAAACTATTCTGATTTCATATTTAATGAAATGGAGAAAATATTAATGTCATATTAATTTATGGGTGAGAAACCCTTTATATGACATTATTTTTGACTTTTGCAATTAAAAAAAAAATGTAGCAGAAGGAAGGTATTTGTCCTCCCACTTCCCTCCTCTGCTACTGGGGAGGTCTTTTAGCAAAAGAACTTACTAGGGTTCTCTGTCAGGCGGGAGCTCTATTCCAAGGGATGGAAACACTGTCATCATTCTTCTGGAGCCAGGGATACCCCCAGGAGGATGGGCAAAGTGTTCTCAGCAGCTTTAACCGAGAAGAGTTGAGTAGGGACCCTGAGGTGGGGAGAGAGACAGGAAAGGATGGGAGACCATTCAAGGTAGACTGTGTGTGAACTACATCGTAACCCCATGAGAACAGGAAAAGAGTATTTAGAAGCATCCTTTGCACGTAGAAATGTGTTCATGAGCAAGACAGAATTCTGCTAATGGCCCATGTCCTTCCAGGTCTCGAAGACATGACAACATGTTCTATGAACATTTAAAAAGATGGCTGCCACGTGAATCCTATCCGTCTCTGCCTGGTTGGATTCTTCCGGGTGACCTTTTTTTCCCTTCATTGTGCTTTTCTATACTTTCTAATTTTTCTGCAATAGATATGTATCACTTATGTAATAAGTTATGTTAAGAATATTTTGATCTTATGGAATGTCTCTAATATCTTACTATCATATTTTGGCTATAAATAAGTGCCTCAAAATTGGTCCATCAAGGAAGATTGGGCTCCCAGAAACTCTGAAATGGCTGGAATACTTTGTCTGTGAACCTGTGACAAACAACTGCCACTTCTCAAAAGGAGCAGATGTTGAAAAGATTTTTGTGCTCTCTAGAAATACTTCGAATTGTGGGTCCCCTTTTTCTGGCCAAGAGCAGACTCCACTGGGTGATGGTTTTGTACCAACTATGGTGAGATGCTGTTCAGAATTAGTAAGCATGAGCTGGGGAAAGGTAGTTGTTGGTATGAAAATCATGAGCTTCCAAACTTAAATATTTGAGTGCTCTGTTAACCTGAATTAATACGCCAACAGATATGTTGGGTCCTAAGTTAATGAGGCACTCTGAAAATTGTGTATTCAGGGGCTTCACATTTCTGATTGGCTAAGTTTTATTCAGATTATTTTCATTGTCTGAGCCCACATTTTAGAAAATCGGTCCAAAGCACATCTGCCTGCTTCTCAGCCTTATTTAGCATTAACCTTAAATAGTGAATTCAACAGATTTCTTCTTCTACTTAGTGCCCTGTAAATTCTGGGACCATTGTATTCCTGGTCTCTTCTTTATAGAGTTGGGAGTTGAGTGATTGGGTATAAAGATAAGCAGGTCCCTGGGAAAACACCTAGAGGTTGTTTTTAGAATGAATTTTTAAACATATTTTCCATCTCTGTTGAAATTCTCATTTTGTTCATGCGTTGTTCTTTTAGAATGAATTGGGGTGGAGTTTGCTTTTAGTCATTAACATCTTTGCCCTAAAGGCAGAATTGCTCCCCCCCCCCAAAGTACTGATTTCACTTGGATTGTGTTAACATTGGTAGGTTAGCATCAACTGTTAACTATTCAAAAAAAAAAAAAATTGTAAGTGACCCAAACGAATGAACTGAGTTAGTCAAAAACAATCAAAGATCACCAGGGATGATTACCTTCCAAGCAGCGGCCGAAGTAGCCAGCACCAAGTGTTCAGAGCACCTGTCACCAGGGGCTATTCTGAGTGTCATGAGGAATCAAAGAGACATAGGTAGAGAGTCTCTACCCATGAGAAGGCATCACCCAGTGGCTGTCAAATGCTAAGTGGCTGAACGACAAGGAAGAGGGACAGTGTTAGTGTGGGGAGCACACTGGGTTGGGGCAGGTGGCCTGGATTCTGTCTCTGGCCCCTCGCTGCTAGAGGCAAGCCACTCACATCTCTAGAACCTCAGTTTCCTCATATGAAAACGAGGTATTCAACTCAATTTCAGAAGGACCTGCAGCCTCTGAGACACCAGAGCAGATGGTTTGCTGAAAGAGGGCCTGAGGGTTTGCAGCAGGAACTGTGTCATTTGATGGGTGAGTCAGACTGGGGGCATTGGGAAAATAATGTCTTCTCAATCAACACCAGGGCATAGGCAATTAGGAAACACACTTAGCTGATGGCTTGAGTATCTGTTCCATTTAGAGGATAGATTCCTGAAGAGGGACAGGGTGACTCATCAGATGGCTATAACCTGATGAAATACAACTATCCAATTTCCTTGCTCTGATTCCATGCAAGCAAATGATCTTAATTTGGTTTTCCAAGGCAGTTTCCCCAGGCAAGAAGAGGGATAAGTTATGGCAATTGGAAATTGACATTCTTTTGTGGGAGCAAAATTAGATCACATGTGAGAAATGACTGTGAAATTAAATAAAGTGGCATTCAAATGCAAAGAAACAGCATCCTTATTAATATCACCATTAGTTATGAATCATCTTTGTGCTGATTTGGTTAGCCTTTGAACCATTTTTTTTCTTCTTTTTTTAGAGCTAGTAAACCCTGGGTGCCTTGGTGATTATAGACAGTCTGGATCTGCAAAATCAGAGGCAAAATTTACTAACATTTACATGGTGCTTTTTTTTTTCAAAGATTTTATTTATTTATTCATGAGAGACAGAGAAAGAGAGAGGCAGAGGCAGAGGGATACGCAGGCTTCCCGCGGAGCAGGGAGCCTGATGCGGGGCTCGATCCCAGGACCCTGGGATCATGACCCGAGCCGAAGACAGACGCTTAACCGACTGAGCCACTCACGCGCCCCTACATGGTGCTTTTGCATGAAATATCCTAGTAGCTCTGGGAGAGAGAGAATACTATGTTCCTGTTCTCCAGCTCAGGAAGGCTCAGTACTATAGGGCTAGGAAGGGTTCAGGCTTGCAGTTAATCCTAGGTCTTGGGACTCCAAATCCTAATCGCAGTATGGCTGCTTCTGAAGGGAGTGAATGTTCTTCTCCCATAGCCTCCCCCAACGCTCACACACATTACCGCAGGAGATCTGTGCCCAATCTTGAAGGAGTTGAAACAGAAGTTAATCTGTTCTGGAGATCATGGAATTGCTTCTCTTTCCCTCTTCAAATGGCACTTGAAGTGCATTCATAGAACCTTTCCAGAAGATGCCCCGTGGCAGAGTCTGCTTGGCTTCCCTTAGTCCTTCGACTCAGGCTCGATCTGCTTGCTGCAGGTGTAGAAAGCGCCTATTTCCTTCTGCAGAGTCTTGGGGGGATGTTGGGCTCCTACCTGGCCTCCTCTGAAATTTTGGTCTGGATGTTCTTGCTGAAGGTGGCTAGGGACCCTTGGCTGGGACAGCTTCCCCAGATCAGCACTGCCTGACCTAGCCCACCCAGGCTCCTGCATCTCTGCAGCCAAGGCTGCCCGGCTCAGATTACCAGAGGGGAGGGAGGGCGGGTCTGAATCTCTGGATCTCTGGGCCCTAGGTGCACTGCAAGCCTGAGCTCTCCATCTGCTTTGGCAGAGTGGGATCTTTGGACCCAGACCCTTCCCATTCACAGAGAGAAGGGGAAGACCGCTGCCTGCCTGAGAATCTGTAGAAGCTCAGGAAAAATATGAGCTGGCCCTATTCCTGCATCTCCTTTTGCTGGATTTACTTTGCTGTCTCCAGACTGAGAGGTAAGAGGCTGATGGGTGTGTAACCATTTCAGCTCATTTGGGGCCACTTCTTTGGTGGCAGTGGGCCAGCAAACAGAACAAATGCTCTCACTGCGAGGAAATGTTCGTGCCTCTTATTGATGAGCCAGAAAAATAACTCTCATATACCCAAAGCTTGCCCCTAGCTGATGCTAGGTCGTGCCCAGTTCTAGTCCTCAGTTTGCTGTTCTTTGCCTTGAAATATACATGACATTGAATGTTGATCCAGGTCCCTCTTTTTGAGCAGCTGTAGAAGCAGCAGATGGAAAATATGCTAAGAAGTTGTTTAATGACCTTTTTGAAGATTATTCCAATGCTCTTCGTCCAGTAGAAGATACAGATAAAGTCCTGAATGTCACCCTGCAAATTACACTTTCTCAGATTAAGGACATGGTGAGTAACATAAAGCGGTGACTCTTTGAAACGGTGCTTAGGATGAAACTAACCGTGCTTTCCAAAGAAGTGTCTTACCTGGGATTTGAGAGGAAATGAGAACAGACAGCAACATGTACAAGCTGGTGGGGGAAGGAAATACCAAGGAAGGAAGCTCTCTACAAAAGTAATTTCGCTAGATGTTAACCTAATCCTGGCCATTAAGAGTAACAGCCTTGATCATCCAAACAGAGATGGTGTCATATATCACATGATTCCCTTTCTATGAAATGTCCAAAATAGGCAGAACCCCGGAGACAGAAAGCAGAGTAGTGGTTGCCAGGGGCTGTGGGAAGAATGGGGGAATAGTGGGTGACAAATTGATGGTCATAAGGTTTCTTTTTTGGGCGGACAAAAATGTTCTGGAATTGGATAGTGGTGATGGTTGCACAATATCATGAATATACTGTAAGCCACTGAACCATACACTTTAAAATGGCTAAATGTTGAGTTTTGTGTTATATGAATTTTATTCCTGTTTTTTTAAAAAAGAAAGGTGGTGTTTTAAGATGGCATATCTTATTTAGTGCTTATATGTGTTTAGTTTCACGAAGTTGTGAAACTTGACTTTCTTCTGTACATTGTAGATATTTCCTGACTTTCTCATTCAAGTGAATCATCAGTTGATCAATTTTCAGAGAAATTTGGGCTGTTGATCAATGCAAAGATCTGATGGCTTAAACACCTGTCCACTTTACATTCAGAACACTAAATCAAGCAGAAAAAAAAATGGCTTTGACAGTCAGTCAAAGGGATAGACTAGAAACGCTCTCATTGATTTAATGAAAGTAGATTTGTACTCTTGGAATTTCTGTTGTAAAGAACAAGTGCTCTAAAGATAGAAGACATTTGGTTGAAGTGTCTACTGGACAGTTATATCATGGTTACTTGTACAGGATGAAAGAAACCAGATTCTGACTGCCTATTTATGGATCCGCCAAATCTGGCATGATGCGTATCTCACATGGGATCGAGACCAGTATGATGGACTGGACTCCATCAGGATCCCCAGTGACCTGGTATGGAGGCCTGATATTGTCCTATATAATAAGTAAGTACGAGTCAGTCATTTCTCAGGAATGAGCTTGTTGATTCAACAGAATTGAAACATAATGAAAAAGGAATGTTTAAAACATGCTTGAAGTTAAGTACCAATTCATGTGCCTAGGCCCTGGAATGATGATCATAAAATCTTAGATAATAAAATAATAGGTCATAAAAACTTAGAACTACAGTCCCCTTTTGGATGAGAAACTGCATTGTGGGCTGTAATAGTTTCCTAGGGCTACGGTAACAAAGTACCACAAACTGAGGGGCTCAAACAGCAGAAATGTATTCTCTCCCAGTTCTGGAGGCTAGATATCCAAGGTTGGTTCCTTCTGAGGCTGTAAGGGAGAATGTGTTCCATGCCTCTTCTCTAGCTTCTGGTGGTTGCTGGCAGCCTTTGTTGTCCCTGGACTTGTAGAAGCATCACCGTGATCTCTGCCTTCTTCTTCACCTGGCGTTCTTCCTGTGTGTTGTCTGTGTCCATTTTTTCCCTTTTATAAAAATAAAACTCATGTTGTATTAGGGGCTCACCCTACTCCAGTATGACCTTGTCTTAACCATTACATCTGCAATGACCCTATTCCAAATAAGATTACATTCTGGGGTGCCAGGGGCTAGGATTTCAACATATAAATTGGGGGGGGCACAATTTAACCCATAATAGTGGTGCTCCCTTCTCCAAGATCATGTATCAATAACGATGATACTACAAAGATTAAATCAGAATGGGCCAGCTAGCGGCTGGCCTGTGGATTTTGGACATTGGAGTGGAGGATGAAGTAGATCATAAGATCATCAGTTGCCCTTTCTTGGTTTCAGAGCAAGGGGCCTTGAGTAAAGGGTAGAAGGTTTATGTTTCTGAAACTGTAAAGTGCACATGAAGAGCTTTGTTAAAATACAGATTCTGATTCAGTAGGTCTGGGGTAGAGTTTGATGTTCTTCATGTCCACAAGCTCCAGAGGTCAGTGCTGCTGGTTCTTGGACCACACTTTGAGGAGGAACCACATTGCTCTATCACAGTGCAGGTTCAGTTGCTCCACCTGTTGTCAAAGGAGCTTCTCTCTTTTTATTCTGGAACCCAAGGTCCTGTGGGTTGGGAATGGTTCCTCTTTGACTCAGAACAGGGTGAATGAGGGGCAGTTCAGGGGGGCTCTCCTGAGAGCTCAGCCTTCTAGTGGACATGAGTTTCTTTTCAGGAAGAAACACTGGTGGGTTGCAGCCTGGATTTTAGCTTTGTTCCTTACTCAGAGAGCTTATCCAAGGGTCATGACCGATTGAATCATAGCACTCATCCTGCTGACCATTTTCCACTCTGGGTGGCCAGAGGGCCCTTCTGTATTCCTTTCCAAGCAAGATAACATCCCAGGGCTATTGCTTTATTATTCCAGTTCACTGCCCCCTTCTCTCTCTCTCTCTCTCTCTCTCTCTCTCTCTCACACACACACACACACACACACAAACACACATACACACAGAGAAGGCAAGAGAATGAGCCAGGTTGTCCATTAGCTTCTCTCACTCACAGGGTGCAGATAATCAGAGAATACAGTTGATATAGACCACTAACAGCATTCTATCAGTTCTAACAGTTCTTCCTGGGAAACAAACAGAATGCTGGTTCTCCTCTTCCTCCTGCTTTGGTTGGCTGAAGCAGTGACTAACTCTTACTGACATGCTTCTTTGCAAGCTTGCATGGTCATCTAAGTTAAGCCTGACCCAGTCCCCGCTTATTCCAGAAACCAGTTGTGTGCTCATGAGCTCACACAGACCTACCGTGGCTTTGGTAAATTCTGTCCCTTTCCCCCCCAGATCATTGGCCTTGAGATGTATGAATTCTCTTCCCTGTCCCTTTTACGCACAGAATCTTTTCATCACACCGAGTAATCAACTCTTTTCTGTTCCTCTGGGTTGACTCTTTAGTCTTCTCTTCCCTCCTGTCTCAGATAGTTCTGTTTCGGATCCTTTATTCTGCTTTGCATTCTCTTTCTCAGTAATGTCAGAGTTTTATTACTTAGAGGAAACTCTAAATGTGGCTATGGTTGGATGTCATTTGCATTCCTATAACCAGCTAAAATGAGGCTAGAAGAGAGTTATAGGATCAGGCAAAGAAGGGACCTTGATCATAACCATTTCCCTGACCCTTGTCCTTCTAGCCGAATCCCTGGAACCATAGACTCTTCTGATCCCAGATATAATATTCTCATTATTTCTCAGAAGGTGGCATAGAACCTTGTAGACCATAAAATGGGCTTTCTGAGTGGCGGTGGGGAGAGGAAAGAGGGCTATGTGGTAGTGATCCAGTCAGGTGTGATAAAGATAGTTCAGATGGGAAGATGCTTCACATCTAGATTCACCACTGGAGCCTGAATCCATGGGGCTGGACTTGGCTAAAGTGTGATCAGGATGGTGATGGGTCTGGGAGCTACTTCATGTGAGGAGCAGTTGAATTTGTTGATGCTTAGTTTGGAAGTTAGCAGTTCTTGGGAAGACTTGATGGCAATGGTAGGCAATCAAGGAGAAAATAAGGGAGAGAAAAGAGAGAAATTTGCTCTAGAGGACAAAAACCAAGACAATGAAAAGTTAAAGGGAAGATAAACAATTAAAAAAATAATCATAACGAATAACTTGGGAAATCAATATTCTCAAGAAGTAGTGAGCTCTTTAGCAATATAGTTATTCAAGCAGATACTGGCTCTGTTACCAAATCAGTAAAGGAATAAATAAATCGGGGCTCAAAGTTCTGGTGAGGTTGTTTAGTCTAAGTATATGGCCAATATAATGGTTAGTGCAAGAGGCTGCAAGGATTCCTGACATTAGATTGGGTAGAGACTAGGTTATAGAAATTCTGAATGTGCATTTATTATGAGAGAGTTCTAATGGTTGGGTTTTCATGGGCCATCTTAACACTTGGATTTTAGAGCTAGTGAGGAATTGGGTACTCTATCATATTCAGAAAGATTTGTCTAGAATTTAGCACTAGGGTTTGTTTAAGCCATCTAGTGGTTGAGAAAATGGCAAACCTGTTAGATGAGATTGGATGTAAAGGAGGGAAAGAGTAACAGGTTTGAGGAAAACGATGATAAATCTGGTGTGGGACCTGTTCAGTTTGGGGGACCAAAGGAACATTCACATGGAGACAACTAATGAAGGGACTGAAAAGGCAATCCTCAAACCTGGAAAGAAGGTTGGGGAAGAGATATCAAAAGCCCTGTGAGCCCTTATAGAAATACTCAAGGAAGGAAAGAAAATGGCTGCAGATAAAGTTGGTGAAACTCTTCACTGCAGACATTCACAGAAGACACTTAAAAGAAATGGTTAAAGGGGTAGAAGGAGAAATGTGAGAGAGAGTTGTGTCGTAGAAACCACGGGAAGAAAGGATGTCCAGGAACAACCTATACTGTGAAATGCTTGGGAAGAGTTGAATAGGATAGGGACCTAGAACAGGTTTTTAGATTTGTGTGTTGGGGGTGCAAGTTATGAATGACCTTTGAAAGAGCACATGTTGGGAAGAAGCCAAATTGCAAGAATAAAAGCAAAATGGGGAATTGACAGCAGTGTGTATCATTTCCAGTGTGTGGAAAGAGAGGTGGGATGTGGGAAGTGCCTTAGAGGAAGGGAAGTTGGTAGGAGAGACTGGGGAACACCATTGGGAAGGGTCTTGATGAGCCAGAGAGAGTAAGAGAAACCATGAGATGCAAAATCCTGAAGGAGACATGGGAGGAAAGGAATCACAGTACCAAGAGGGAAATTAGCCTTGGAAAGAAAGAGGGGGACTTCTTTTTGATATGGAATTGTCCGAATAGATTCTCTCTGATCCTGAGATCTCTCCTCTTACACCAAAGAAGGTAGGATGGATGAGTGATATTCTCAGTTCATCATAGTGCTCACCTCTCATTCAGGTAACTATATACATTTCTCATCGTTACGGAGGTTAGGTTCAGGGATTTTCAAAAAACTTCATCTTGTTACTTCATCTTTGTCACAAAGACCCACATTAAAGATCTTTCTTTTTAAACCCTCATTAAAGACCCTCATTAAAAAGTGAGCCCCACACGTTAACTGTGATGGTCTGATTTGGTCCACTTCAATCAGACCATTACAGTTAATGTTGTGGCGCCCAATTTTTAATAAGTGGGAAAAAATAAATTAAAAACATGCCAGTTCTTTGATCCAGCACATCTTCTCCTGGCAATTTAATCTAAGGAAAGAGTCAGTGGATAAATGCAAAGATTCGACTACAGCATTGCTTGTAAATGCAAAACCTGGAAATGACAATGTTGAACATCGATGGATTGGTTAAATAAGTATGGCATATCTATATAATGGGATATAAAGGAAAACTATTAGCCATGAAAATAATGTTGCAGGAGAATATGAATGAATAACCACATTTTAAATTTTGTATCATCTTTTTTGGGGGGGAGTAAATTAACTTTTTTTATTTGGGGATAATTTTAGATTTCTAGAAAAGTTGCAAAGATGGTACAGAGAGTTCCCATATACCCTTCACCTAGCTTCCCCTAATGTTACATCTAGTGTTACATCAAAATAACATAGTACATTTGTCAAAACGAATACAATATTATTAAACTATAGACTTTATTTGGATTTTGTCAGTTTTTCTACTAATGTACATTTTCTTCCAGAATCCAATCCAGGATACCTTACACATTACATTTAGCCATAATACATTTTATAGGGAAAAAATTATAAGGAAGACTGGGCAATATGCATTAAATGTTAATAAGAACTTATCAGTTAGGGTTGTAAGCATTGGAAACTGACTTTTGCTACCTTCTGAAAAAAAGGAATTTGTTGAAAGGGTATGGTACAGCTCACTGAATTAAAGGGGAAAAAAAAATCAATGACCAGTTCTTAGAAAGGACAGACTGGACAGACTGGGAGTGCTCTAGAGTTTGAGACAGCAGGGACTACTGAGCTGGTTTATTTATTTGTTTTATAAGGAGGCATCACCAGAGTGACTGTTTTTGGTCTTTGGGTCACTTGTTTAAGATCTAAACTTCAGGGAGAGTGAATCAGTTGGATCTAGCACAGGTCATATGGCCAGCCCCTGGCCAGGGGAGGATGTGCACAGGTCAGTGAGCTGTCCAGAGTAAGGAAGCTGATGAGTTGTCTTGACAAGCAGCTTTCATTCTCCTCCTCTGACCTCTAGGGCTGATGATGAATCTTCTGAGCCTGTGAACACCAATGTGGTCCTGCGCTATGATGGGCTGATCACCTGGGATGCACCAGCCATCACCAAAAGCTCCTGTGTGGTGGATGTCACCTATTTCCCTTTTGATAACCAGCAGTGCAACCTGACCTTTGGTTCCTGGACCTACAATGGCAACCAGGTGGACATAGTCAATGCCCTAGACAGTGGCGACCTCTCCGACTTCATCGAAGATGTGGAGTGGGAGGTCCATGGCATGCCCGCTGTGAAGAACGTGATCTCCTACGGTTGCTGTTCTGAGCCTTACCCAGATGTGACATTCACTCTCCTTCTGAAGAGGAGGTCCTCCTTCTATATCGTCAACCTCCTCATCCCATGCGTCCTCATCTCTTTTCTGGCCCCCTTGAGTTTTTATCTCCCAGCAGCATCTGGGGAAAAGGTCTCCTTGGGAGTGACCATCCTGTTGGCCATGACTGTATTTCAGCTCATGGTGGCAGAGATCATGCCGGCCTCAGAAAATGTCCCACTGATAGGTGAGCTCACGGGCCTTACACTTTGAGCCTAGCTTTGTAGTGAGTGGGATTGTATCTGTTCCTTTAAAGTCAGAACCATCAGGTCAATTTCAGGCTCAACACAAGCTGTCACATGCTTCATTTAGTGTCTTCAGTTGGCATCTTTGAATACAGAGATGTCTGTTCTCCAGAACCGGTCTTACGGTCTCTGGGCTTATGTGAAAGGGGAAGGAGAGGCAATATAGTTTAGAGCAGTGGTTCTCAAAGTGTGATCCCTGGACCCCCAGTGCAGCATTGTTTTGGAAAGGCAGATTCTCAGAGCCCACCCCAGACCTACTGAATTAGAAACTTTGGGGCGAGTACTGGCCAATCTGTTTTAACAAGATTTCTGGGTGATTTTGATGCACTTTTCTGTCCACTGGCTTAGAAGTTAAGGCCCTGATTTTGAAGTTAAAGAAATCTGCATTTGAACTCGGATTTCACCACTCATTTCTTAACGATCGATCTTAGGCAAGTTGCTTAGTCTTTTAGTTTCTGCTTCATGCCCTGGAAAGGGTGTGTAATTGCTACTCATTGTGTGGTTCTTAGTGTAGAAGCTGGTGTATGGTAAGTGCACCCTAAGTAGTGACTATTACTGTCTTTTCACAGCACACGGGATCTCTTCTTGGGAAAGAGCGGCAAACAGGATAGAAATGGTTGACTGGATTTTTCAACCCATCGTCTACCCTTAATAGAATAATCTTTAACCTTTATTGGATATAGTAGATGTGGGAAAGCTTATTAAAATGCAGGTTTCTATACCCAAAGAGTGTGATTTAGCAATCTGGGCAAGAGTTGGGAATCTGAGGTGATTTTAGGTTGGACCATATTTTCAAAAGTCTGCACTTATAAAATGTCCTTGTACAGGGTAGACTTAGAGACAGAGACTATGACCCCTTCCCACTCCCCATCCTTTCCCTACCTCATGTTTTTAAAGGATCTTATTTATTTGTTTGAGAGAGAGAGTGAGCACAAGTGGGCGGAGGGGCAGAGAGAGAGGGAGAAGCAGACTCCCCTCTGAGCAGGGAGCCCGATGCGGGGCTCGATCCCAGGACTCTGGGGTCATGACCTGAGCTGAAGGCGGATTAACAGACTGAGCCCCCCCGTGCCCTTCCCTACCTCATTTGAGACCTCTCCTAATACATTCCGTACCTGCACCGTGCCACCAAGGATCTACTCAGCTCCAACACCTCTGTGTCCATGACTTGCTCTTGTAATAGACGCCTACCAGAATCAGAAGCTAGACCTAATTTCTAGTTCCTTAAAATAAACAATGAGGAGGAATTTCAGAACACGCAGAGACTTAGAGACCAATATGAAAGGGATATTGTACTGCTCTTTTATCCTCTACTGAATCCAGTATTACCTGATATTCAGATGTTACTACACTGGTTTCCCTGTTTGGAGATTTCTTCCTTGTTATGTCTCTCCAAGCAAAAAAACACAGACACACCAACACATGGACACAAATACACACACACACACACACACACACACACAAACACACTTTTTTGAGAAATAGACACAGGAAGTTCTCTCCACCCCTCCCCCCACACCACTAATAAAGAGGAAGGGTGTATTGGCATTTTGATTACCTCTCCTGAGACATAAATGATTGACAGTGATGATCTGTAATCATAATCCTATTTGAGGCAAGACATTTGGCAGATCTCTCTCTCTTCTCTAGCAGTGACTTTCAACAGCAAGCTGGCTAAAGTTCTAAAGAGACATGTCCTGGGACGTGTCTCAGGAATTTTGCAAACATTACTTATTCTGTTTCTGTGATAATATAAGTTGTATCTTTTTAGAAAGGGTGCACACAGAGCAGTCTGTTAACAATAACAATTTGTTATTTGCAGCACCTATGAAATGCACTTCCACATAAAAATGTGTTTAAGTGTTCTGGGTAAATGTAGGATTTGATCTAAGCTTCTGGCCCATAATCTTTACTAAGACAGGTCCCATTTATTCTTAGTTTACTTTGAGCTTTTAACAAATAAGTGGATGACGAACATTATCAAATGCATTGTTTTCATCTGTTAAGATTATCATCTGAGTTTTCTCTTTTACCTCATTAATATAGTGAAATAGGTTTTCTGATGTAGAGGTAAACCCTCCTTTATCATGATGAATTATCATTTTAAAACACTACTGGATTTAGTTAGCTAGTAATTTTTATAGGACTTTCTCAAATACTTCTATAAGTAAAATGGCCTGAATACTTCCTTTCTTGTTACTTTGGAATCAAGGCTAAATTGACTTGTAAAGTAAGCTAGGCAGCTTTCTCTCTTTTTCTACTTCTGGAACAACTCGACTTGCATGATATGAGTTATCTGTCTTTTAAAAGTTTGGTAAAACTCACCTATAAAACCAACTCTGGAGCTTTTCTATTCCAGTGTTCTTTCTTCTTACATTAAATTTGATGTCTTATGAATTTCTAGAAATTTCATCTAGATTTTCAAATATGTTATCATACAGCTAAATATTATTTTATTGCATTCTAAATTTCTATTCTGTTATTTCTTCTTTTACATTCTCCCTCCCTCTCTACCCGCCCCCCCCAACCTTGCCTCTGTTCTGTGAGTGGCTTTATCAAAGGTTTATCAATCTTATTCCTTTTTTCAAATAGCTTTTGCTTTTGTTTATCTTTTTGGTTTTTTGTTCTATATTTTAGAAATCTGTGCCCTTACCTTTATTCTTTCTTTCCTTAATCTTCCTTTTTCATGAATATTGTTTTATGCAGTCCCACGTTAAAGACTAATAGTGACACAGTGGCTTCTTCCTTACCCGACAGTAATGAGGTCTGGAGACAATTCTGAGAGTTGCCCAAGATTGTTGTTTATTGAAAGGGGAATTTTTTCACATCATGATCTCAGCAAACATTTAGAAACCTTTCACTCAGTGAAGGGACAGTGCTGAGAACCTTACATGTACCATCGCAATTAAGCCTCACCCTATTCCATGAATTAGATCCAATTATTATACTTATTTTACAGAGAAGGAAGCTGAGGCTCAGCAGGATGATCTAACTTGCTCCAGGCCCCCAGTCTAGTGAGCGACAGACCTGGGATTTGAATCTAGGAAGTTTGATTCAGAAGCTTATACTGGGAACCATTAGTGTATACAGCTTCCTTAGAAAAGGTGTTTGTGTATTTTTGAGCCAAACATGAGGCCAGTTGTTTTTTTTTTTTTAAGATTTTATTTATTTGTTTGCGAGAGAGAATGAGAGACAGAGAGCACGAGAGGGAGGAGGGTCAGAGGGAGAAGCACATGAGGCCAGTTTTAAGCTAATTTGGTTGTGGTTATTTTCCAGGCAAATACTACATAGCCACAATGGCCTTGATCACAGCCTCCACCGCCTTGACCATTATGGTGATGAACATCCACTTTTGTGGGGCTGAGGCCCGGCCGGTGCCACACTGGGCCAGGGTCGTCATCCTGAAATACATGTCCAGGGTCTTGTGTGTCTATGATGTGGGTGAGAGCTGCCTTAGCCCCCGCCACGACAGGCAGCAAACCCACCTCACAAAGGCTTATGGCAAACTTCCAGAGCCAAATCTGCAAACAGACAGAAACAAAGGCCTTCCCAGAAGGAAGGAAATAAACAAACTGGTGAAGAATGACTTGGGGTGCCATGGTGAGAACCCACAAGATGCTGACAGTTACTGTGCACAGTACAAGGGGCTGACGAGGAATATCGAGTACATTGCCAAGTGCCTCAAAGACCACAAGGCCACCAATTCCAAGGGGAGCGAGTGGAAGAAGGTTGCAAAGGTCATAGACCGATTCTTCATGTGGGTTTTTTTCATTATGGTGTTCGTGATAACTGTTTTGATCATCGCAAGAGCAGATTAGTGGGCATTTGGTGTGTAGAGACAAATCAGTAAAATTCCCTGTGATCTACTTTAATATTTTTCCAAGTCAGATTTACACACACACACACACACACAGACACGCAAACACATACATATAATTTATATATATTATATATTTATATATATAAATAAGCAGGGTTTTCCTTTGGGAAAATCATGGAATTGGGGAGTGACACTTCCAACAGCAGTTTCTGAGGGTCTATACCCCCAGGTTATAATATCCTGTGGAAAGTTCAAAGTCCTAGAATCTGTGGAAAGATCTGTCAGGAAGCAAGAATTCCTGTCCCCTCAAAGGTCCCGCTAGCTGGACCAAGAATCAAAATGACAGGGGCGCCTGGCGGGCTCTATCGGTGGAGAATGCAACTCCTACTAATCTCAGGGTTGTGAGTTCGAGCTCCACGTTGGGTGTAGAGATCACTTAAAAATAAAAAATCTTAAAAAAAAAAATCCAATTGACATGAGACAGATGAACGGGAGAAAATCAAATTTAATAGCGTACGTCTGGGGAATCCACACACACACGGAAATTTCCAGAGACAGGCAAGATGTGGTATATGTGTCATCCTGATCAAGAAGGGGCGGGAGTCTGGGACTTTGGAGGGAAGGAATGCACTTCGAAGGGCGATAAGAAGAGCAGATGTTTGGTAATTAGAGGTTGACCTGCCAGACAAATGGGTCACTCAGATAAGATTTATCTCTGGTAAAAAACCCTTATTCTGGGACAGATCTCCAATTGAGATTCTTCTGTGTGGTTAAGGGAGGGACAAATGTTTCTCTTGAGCCTGTAGGGTCCCAAGTGCCTTCAGCTTAGAATAATCCACATGCCAGAGTAGCCCAAAGATGCAGGGCGGGGGCTGTCCCAAACCCCTTCCATTCCAACCCGGAGGACACCCAGAGGCCAGCAGCCAAAACACCTGCTCACTCGAGAAGCGTTTTCTGTTGGTTTGTTTCCTGTTTTCTAAAAGGGGGAAAGTACTTCCCAGATGAACAGCCCCCAATGAGGGAAACAGCTCTGAACCACAGCGGAAGTTCGCAATGACCACCAAGCCGACTTGCAGACGCAAATGTGATTTTATTTTATTTTTTT